TCATGTTCCTGTCCTAGGCCAGGGGCCCATGGTGGCAGAAGTGGGATCCCTACAAGACACCATCCCCACCCCCGCCCTGACTGGTCCTCAGCCTCCCACATCCAGCAAATCACAGGACAGGGCAGATTCCTGCTGCTGGGAGGTCTGTCCTGTGCTGGGGGCGGGGCTCTGTGGGGCTTTGTGCCCCCCCACTGCTAATCTTCCCCCCCCCCATGCTCAGGTGTTCTGGCCCCCGCTGCGCAATCTCTTCATCCCGGTGTTCCTGAACTGCTGGCTGGCCAAGCACGCCCTGGAGAACATGATTGTGAGTCTCAAGGCTGGGGAAGGGGGGGCTCGCCCAGGGGTGGGGGACACGGCTCTGCCTCCCCCCTCTCTCGCCTCTGCTGGCCCTTCTCAGCAGCAGCAAATGGCTCCCTGGCCCCGACTGGCAGGGGGTGGGGATGGGGCACACACCATGCCAATGAGCAGCACCCACAGTCCCAGCTGGGTTCTGCTGAATGTCCCAGACGTGCCGGGCTCGGTGTGTGTGTCGTGTGTCCCAGCTGTGCAGGGCCATCCGTGTTGCCTGCCCGGTGGGGGAGGGGACGGCAGCACCCGGCCCCTCAACGCCCCCCCCGCCTCTCGTCCCAGCAGAACGATCTCCACCGCGCCATCCAGCGGACGCACTCCGCCATGTTCAACCAGGTCCTGATTCTGGTCTGCACCCTGGTCTGCCTGATGTTCACCTGGTGAGTGGGGCCCGGGGAGGCACCATGCTCTGCTGGAGCCAGGCTCCTGCCCTTCCCCAGCTGCAGGGACAAGGCTCAGACTGGTCCCGGGCCCTGGCCTTCGAAGGAGCAAAGGGTCTGGGCTCGGCGGCGCCCCCCTGGGGCTGGTGGGGCATGGCTGGAGCTGTGCTGCCGAGGGCAGCGGAGTGGCAGCACCATGGACAGCAGCCCGGCTGGGCCTTGGCCACCTGCCACTTGGGCCCAGAGCCTTGAACCCCCAGAGCCGGCCAGGCTGAGCGCGTGGCATGCTGTACCCCCGCCCGCCTGCAGGGGTCAGCGTGGGGTTGCCCCCCTCCCATGCTGCATTGCTGCAGCCAGCTCTGGGGCGAGGCACGTCACTCACCAGGCAGCGCGTCACCAGGGTAATTACCGTTGTCACGGACTCACAGATCGTGCCCACTCCTGGCCCCATGCGGTCCGTGGGGGGTGCCCCTTTCAGTGAGACAGCCCTTCTCGGGGGTCCACTCTCTCTCGGGGTCAGGCCCCTCCACCTCCTGGAGCCGCACCTCTCGGAGCCTTAGCACGTCTGTCTCTCGCCTTGGGCCCCCTCAGGGAGTCCACTCGCTCTGCACCCCTGGGGCCTCCACCCCCGAAGGGGTTGACGCAACCCTGTTCTCTAGACCGGAGTGACTCTCAGCCAGCATAAAACAGGAGGGTTCATTGAGAGTTGAACACAGCACGGGAAACTCTCAGGGCCTCAGGCCTGGCCTCCCTCAGCCCAGCACATCCCAGTCCCTCTGCACCCAGGTGGGCTCTGCCTGCTCCCCCTCTCCAGCCCACAGCCCCCTGCTCCCAGCTGGGCATCTGAGATCCCCGGCCCCCAGCCCCGCCTCTGTCCATTGTCTTCTCTCCAGGAAAACAGGGTCATAAACAGGGTGGCCTGGGCCTCATCTCCTCTCAGCCCTCTTCTGGCCCCCTCTGGCTGGAACCGGCTGGTCAAGTCACCGGGCTCCTCTCCCCGCAGCCCATTGTCCTCCCACTGGCCAGAACCGGCTGCGACTCCTGGGCTGGGTCTCCGGGTCTCAGGTCACCAATGGGGTCTCCATTCTCCAGGCCATCGGCTGGGGTCCCAAGTTCCCTCTCTGGTCCTCTGCAACAACAAACTCCCTCTCCCCTCCCCTCGTTAAACCAGTAACACCCGGGGACACTGAGTCCCACCCCCTCCGCATGCAAACCATTGGAAAAACATGAAAAAAACCCCAGAAAATCCCCCACTTCGTCACAACCATCCCGATGATCCTGGCTGTGACGCTGACCGGTGGCTGGCCCTTCCCCCGTCCCCCCAGCATCTGCGGGATCCAGCACCTCGAGCGCGCGGGCAACAACCTGACCCTCTTCGACTCGCTCTACTTCTGCATCGTCACCTTCTCCACCGTGGGCTTCGGGGACGTCACCCCCAAGATCTGGCCCTCCCAGCTGCTGGTCGTCATCATGATCTGCGTGGCGCTCATTGTCCTGCCCATCCAGGTGAGCTGGGGGTGGCTGCCCAGACTGGGGGGGTGGTGGGACCTGGGCGGCGGGTCACTGACTCCAGGTGAGCCAGATGCACTCCGGGGCTCGGTCCCGTTAGCGTAACCCGGGGGGACCTGGCCTCCCTGGGGAGCAGCCGTTTGCTGACGGGCTCCTCAGTCCAGCAGCCAAGCTCGACCCAGCTCCAGCGGCTGGAAGGTGACGCTGGCCGAGGTCCGGCTGGCCACACGGCGCCGATGTTTGCCAGGGAGGGGAATGAACCCGGGGGTGCGGTGGGTTCTCTGTCCCTGGCTGCTCTGAGCTCCGGGCCGGCCCACGGCCTGCACTGGGCAGGGGGTCGGACCAGGCATCTCGGGAAGAAACAATGACTCTGGCTGGGGGGGGGGGGGCCGGGGGCTCCCCCAGGAGGGGGCCCCACCCCGGGGGGGGGCCGGGGGGGGGGGCCCGGGCGGGGGGGGGGGGGGGGAGTCCAGAGGGGGAAAGCTGGAGCCAGGGAGGAGCCGAGCTCTCTCTGCAGGCCAGGAGGGGGCGTCCTGCCTCTCCGCTGCCTTTTCGCAGCTCCAGCCCGGCAGCCCAGCCAGGGCCAGTCCACGGGGCGCTGCTGCCTAGGCCCCACTGCATATGAGGCTCGCTGAGCTCCCTTGCCCTGGTGTAGACAGCACGCCGCTCCAGCGGGGTCACCCCGGATCAACCCCGCAGGGGAACCGCTCCCAGCACCATTGCATTTGGGCCCAGAGACAAGAGGCAAATTCCTGGATCCACCGAGCCAGATCCCCAGCTGGCATCAGTGGCCTTTGCTCCATTGGCTGTGTGTGCATTGCATGTGGCTGTGTGTGCGCTGCGTGTGGCTGTGTGTGCGCTGCGTGTGGCTGTATGTGCACTGCGTGTGGCTGCGTGTGCATTGCGTGTGGCTGCGTGTGCACTGCGTGTGGCTGCGTGTGCGTGGTGTCTCCACCATCCCGGCCAGGTCTGGAGCGTGCCGGGTACTTGCCACCCGGAGCTGGCATGTGGGAAGCCCTGCCTGGTGGCTTGGCAGCAGCAGGCCCCACACGGTGACGGGGGCGGGCGAGGACACAAAGTGCTGGCTCCTGCCGTCTGTCGGCTCTAGGGGGGTGGATTAGAGCCTCCAGGGCCGGGAACAGCCGGTTTTTGGGGAGCCCCGGAGCCTGGGGAGAGCCACAGGGCCCCCTGCCCCCTCCCCACAGCCTAGGGACCTGGGGAGGCCCAAGTGCAAGGCAGGAGACAGGGCCCCCCAGACAGGCTGCTGGCTTTTCCTGGTGCTGAAGGTCTGGGGGGGATAAAGATGGAGTTGGGGGATTGCGCCTCTAGCAGGAGGGCGGGAAC